TTACTAATGCAGATAGAAGACAGGAGCTGCTACACCAGGCCTGAATAAAAGCAAATGAGTTGATGATATAACTGAATAGACAAGCAGGCAACTGAAAAAGCTGTGTTTTTATGTGCTTGCCAGTTCTTATGATCCGACAGGAGTCGGATGCTTGCTCCCAATGCATCTAACAGCTGGCTGAGCAGAAGTCACTTACAAACAAACTCTTTAGAGCAAAAATTATTTTCACAGGATAGACACAGCCATATGCTTCCTTTTGGCTACCACACCATGCTAAGGCCAGAACTGACTATAAACTCTAAACTCTCTCCTATCAGAAAATATTTTTGCCTCAGCAAGACATCAGTTGGGCCAAGCTGTCTTTAAGCTTCAGCTACCATGTGGAGCGCCAGACGTGGCAGACGAGCAGAGCACAGCGGATGTTGTCTCCCCTGCCTCAGTGAAGAAAGGCTTTTAATGCTCTCTGCCATGAGATCCTCCCAGAGAAGCTGACGAAGGATGGGCAGGCAGTGAGGTGGATCAAAAAAGGGTGGATGTCAGTGGCACAAGCCTAGCTGGAGGCCAGTACCGAGCAGAGTTCCCCAGGGGTCAGTACTAGGCCCAGTCCTGTTGAACTTCCCAATTCGGAGGGGCTGTGCGGACTGCATCCTTGGGGATCTCCAAAAGCCACCTGGACGTGGCCCTGGGCAGCCTGCTCTGGGTGGCCCTGCTGGAGCAGGGGGCCTCCAGGTCCCTTCCCACCTCAGCCACCCTGTGACTGACCCAGCAGTTTGCTCACCCAGTCAGCCACCTAACGCCCTCAGAGGAAATACAAAAAAAATTCTACCATGACAAACCCCATAAGCAGGGAAATGTGCATATTTTTAATATTCTCCAGCGATATCTACAGTGGACCACAAAACTACCTACTTCTAATTTCATGATTTCCTAATTATTTATGTCTATCACCTTATCATGCTTATTCTTCCTTGCTGTCTGATCTCTCTGCTAGACTTAGTGCCCAGCCACTGCAACTCTTTACTGGTCCCATGATCCACTTTTCAGCAGTTTTCTTATCCTACTGATGGCTGCATTGCTTGAAACTCCTTCTCTTCTACCTTATTCAGCTTCACCATTCAGTACACACAGTCTGAGTGATGTTCCACAAGCCAGATGAAAAAATAATCCAGCATCTTGCTCCACTTCTCATCATTCCTTCTTTCTGATGGCTCTGGGTCTCGTAAGAAAGTTCACTGAGCCAGCAGAAAACTTTTTTTTTTGGATGGATTTGTTTTCAACGATGGATTAGACGGCTTGCAAAATCTGCATCCGAGCTAGCTGGAGCTAAGCACTGAGCTGCTGGGGATGAAAAACAGAAGAGTGAAGAAAAGTTGGGCCTCTTCCTGCCCCTTCCATTGGTCACCACAAATCACTGGGGCAGTTCAAACTGCTTCCTCTAATTTCACCCCCGAGTCAAGCTTTTTTTGCATTTTAGTTTCAACCTCTTCACCAGAGAGAGGCTGAAGCCCTAGACACAGCGCTGCCACATTTCGGACTTGAATACTCTGCAGACAAACATGCAGGCATGTGCTGCGGAGCTTGCCAGAGCACATACAATAAATCCAACGCTCTGGGGACAAGCCAGGATTACTCCTTGTACTACAAGCATATTATATACGCAATTTGCAAAAGCACAGCTCTTTCAGGAGATGTCAGATTTATTACAAGTATATATCGTAAGTATTAGAAGTATGCTGCAGAAACGTGTGGGATTTCTGAATGTCTTCTGCCCTCTCGGTTGCTTGGGTGTAGCTCCAGCGGGGCAGCCAGACATCCGGAAATTCGGTGTTAAAAGAACCCTCATGGTCCAGATGGGGGGAAAAAAAAAAAAAAAGCAGACAGTCTGGGAAAATCAGACATACAGTAGTCATACTCAAGTTTACAGGGAGAGGCAGTACCTCTTGGTAGATCAAACCTCTGGAAACCTGGGTTCCCACCGCAATTTAGGCCCCCTGCTCTCCGCAACCAGCTCACGCTTTAAGGTAAAGTCTAAAAATTCCTGTTCTTCAATTTTCTTGTTTTCCAGGCTGTGCTTCCACACGAAAATGCCGTGTTGTATGAATCAAATTATGCACAGCCAGCTTCCTTACCCAAATTAGCAGAGTCTTAAGCATTTATCAGAATTAGGATCTTAGGACAACCTTTCCCCCACACAGCCCTCCCACACTTCTCCCCCACCTCCTCTCCCCTCCTCCCCTAAACCAGTTGCTCACCATTCTTCATTAAAGAACTCATTTTTTCCCTCCTGCTCACTCTGCTAATTATTATCTCCTGCAAACCCTAAAACAAGCTCTGCAATCTCCTGTCCTAATTAAATCAAAGTAAAAGAGCAGTTCACATAAATAACATTTTCAAGATCTGCTTTTAGCTTCTAGATTTTGTCAGCAAAGTTTCCAGCCCTGCCTCAGGGCCAGAAGGTTAAACATTTCTCAATGACGCAGGCTCCCTTAGCGAGAGAGCGACGAGGAAGTGGTCCAAAAAGCCTCCTTCTTCCCAGGCACTAAATCAACAACCACGGCAAACAGCGAGTGCCTCTCTCCGAGGAAAACGGGGAGGAGTGGAGCAGTCTATTACAGGCAGTCGCTGATTCTGCCACCATAATGCTAAAGCCCAGAACAAAGGGGAAGAAAACAAAATAAGAGGGAGAGATTTTGCATGTGGAACATTTAATGGATAGAGCAATCAAAATGTAAAAAACAAAATAAAACAAAAAAACCTTTCAGTTTCTGCAGAATGCTGAATTTCGGTCTGAAATTCCTGTTCTTCTCTGGTCCCATCGGGTTGCCAGTACATTTCTAGGTTAAACTTAAAGATGCTTTGACCTTTAAATGGGCTGCAGTGTTCCTGCCAGAGACCGCATCTCATGTGCTACGCTGCTCCAGGCATGTTCACATGTTGGTCTCTGGATTTTCAAGATAAGATTAGCAGTAGAGGTTTCTCCATAAGGAGCCGACTAATCGGGATCTTATTCTTACTTAGTTTGAGGTAATATGGGGTCAGCGAAGGCACATGGCAAAGGGGTTTCTGTTGATTTCAGCTTTTAGTGAAATAATTTTGAAGGCTCTGAGCCTTAGGTGTGTTTTGTAATAAGTCAAGTACAAGATACTTTCTGAAGAGCTTAACCAAAAGTTTGGGGGTTTCCATTTTCAGCTGGGGGTAGATGAGTGTGAGATAACTCAAACGAATCAAAACTACTCCCTTTTCAATGGTGCATCATTTATTTTAGTTGACATTCGTGAATGCAAAATCCAGATCTCGAACGTTGAAAGAAAACACAAAGGAAAACCGGCTGTAGAGTATCTCCAACAGGAAAACGAAAAAGAAAACAAAATCATCAAGACCACTTCTCATTACAGACTGATTTAGTCAGCATGTGCTTCCCTGGAAGCTGCAGCTTCTTTATTTGGAATACACTCATTTCTGAGAAAAAACCACCAGGGCAGAGAAAATGGCAGAGGCTACGAAGAACCATAAATACAATTTGTCAACCTACTTCTCGCACAGGATAATTAAATAGGTTCCTAACCTGTTGGGATTCCCACCCTGTGCATAATGCCTACTAAGTGCCATTAACATGGAGAATCTGATTTAAATTAAGCATTGGGAGAGACAGATAGAAAATAGTATTCATCAGGTCACAGTAAGAGACACTACCTTAGCACTTGCCTACTTAAGGATATTGTAAAGTGAGTACGGCTTCTTCCCATAAAACATTCAGTCTGCATTAAGGTTTGCAGCAGTTTAAGTACAAAAAAGCTGTTTCAACTAAAAGGCACTAAAATACATATTCATTTAATATCGCAAGTTAGAATATTTTTAACCAAAGGGCAATTCTAGGTCAACTGTTCAGTGTGAGTTGCTGGCAAGGGAGAAATCTAATGTTTTTTTAAAATGGTGTTTGGTAAAACTGTGAAGGACAGGAGAGGACCTTGGTACTTGCAACAGCAAAGGATGGAGCCCTGTGACCCTAAAGGTTAATTCAGCTTCTTTATGACTCCACCTACTTTAAAAAAACGCACACACCACTGGTAAATTCAACAACATTCTTAAAACACACTGCAGTTACACACAGAAGGGAGCCGTGCCAATGTAATTAACTTAGTTGGGAGGGAAGGAAGGGGAAGAAATATTTCCCCCATTAAGATAAAGACTTTAGTTTCACTTCCATCCGGCATAGCTTGTGTTTGCTTAGTCACAAATGAAAATAAGCTTAGGCCATCACAAGATGACCAGTTGAGGTTTCTCCATGTGAAAAGAGAATTAGAAACAAGTGTCAGACGCTTCTTGGAAGAGCCCGAAGGTCAGAACAGCAGAGGGTGCTCTAAGTCCAAACTGAGGTGCACCAGCACAGCAACACGGGGCATCCCCATGTGACATTAAATTGTAGGTAACCCAGGGCTTTTGTTGTTGTTGTTTGGTTGTTTTGTTGTTGTTGTTCACTAGGCTTGGGTTTTTTGTTTTTGTTCATTTATGATGCTCTATGAATTATCTGAGATTGGTAAAAAGCAGAGTGCAAAGGGTTAAAAATATTAAGAATTTGTGTCAGATACCACATGACCTCAGACAAAACCAGAGACATTCCCAAAACCTTAACAGCTCCATGTAATCTCTGTGACTGATCTATACAGCTCTGGGCATACTTTAGAGGCTGCTTCATATCGAAACTTAAAAAATATTTGCTTTTTACGTCCTATGAGCAAAGCACAGACTGGACAGGAATCCAACCATTACAAGAAAGAAAACAATCCCGATCTAAACCCTGATCTGAATTCCTGCCACCAAGCAGGAATAGAAACCTAAGTGCTTTGTTAAATATTAGTCACCTCTTACATGTGAGCAGTGGATAGCAGCAAGGAGCCACAGGTCAGCGGCAGGCAGAGCGGATGTGTCCACGCTGCACTCCTCCACGCAAGGCGTGTATGGTGCCATCGGCGTTATCAGCTTAGAGATGGAGCACAGCACACGGAAGATTCATTTATATTCATCATGTAAATGAAAGGGTAGCTTACAGATTACAGTAATGGCAATTAAACATAGCCCGTAATACATAATGCATTAATTTCTCAGCGAGGAATACTCTGCTTAGATTAAAGTTACAGCATATAAACCCTCACATGAGCTTACGTTTTACACTTCAAACTTTCATTTCGTTTTTAATATCAATTGGTGAATGGTACAAAAAATTAGTAAGCCGACCATAAGCAAGTATATAAGATGGAAAGTGATGCACACGTACACACAGACCCCTTGAAGTTGTTTCTTGTCAGCTAATTATTTTGAAATTAAAATGGAGCCATAAGAAGGGTTAGGAATCAAAGCAAGGCAGTGGATATTTGTTTTGTGTCTAGCACATCTTCCCTGTTTTAGGACAAATAGAGCATGTGTGCGTTCATAGAAGGGATAAAGACAAAAATATGCCTTGATGTTTTTTTTTCCCCTCCCTCTGTCTCAACCTGTAGCGCAATACTCACTGCTAATACAGACAGAGAGCATCTTCAAACCAGCTGGAGGAAAAAAATATATATATATATTTTAATCAGTAATTTAACAATTCAATAAATGCAAGCTCCAGGTTTTACAGGACTTCCAGCAGGTTCTTGTTTAAACTTAAAGTTGGCAGTAGAAATAGGTACTGCTCAGTTAAATGGTTCTAATGAGTAGTCTTCTACATTATCTTTTTTATTAAAAAATAAAAATGGAAAGCATGCTTTATATATTTAGTTAGTTCCATCCTTTAACCCTGGTTTGACTAACACAATAACCACGGTTTGATTACTCAACAGTTAATCACAGGGATAAAAGGCAGCAAAAGGTTATGTTCAAATCTTTCATGAATGGAATAACTCCGCAACGTTGCAGCTCACAGTTGTGCACTCCTCGCTGTGCGTTAAGAGCCAGCTCAGACCTTTATGCACTTAGTAGCTCTGGCAGAAAAATTTCCATATTTAAAGCTGACTTCAACAACGTCCCATTTGCTGCTTCGGAAAGAATTCCCTCTGCAGGATGACGATGAAGCTCACATAACTCTGTTCAGTCTTTGGATCACATGCAGGGTTCTGGTTGAAAGCCAGCGAAGCGTCACTTTATCGCTACTCAGAATATACACATCTCGGGGAACCTTACCAGCAACCAGGGAACTCTTTACAATCCCCAGGAACTTGCTACCTAGATACAAAAGGTTACATTTCCAAATACCACGGATTCCAAACAGAAATCAAAAGTTCTATTTTTGAAGTGGTGATGATGCAAACTAGCGAGCCAGTCATGCTCTCCCCTCGCCCCCACCCTCCATCCAAAACCCAAATCCCCGTTGCTTTGATTCAAGAGCTCACTGAAATCTTGCAATTCCAAACCTAGGGGACAACCAGGAAGAGAATAATATTTTAAGGTCTGCTATTCAAACAAAATGAAATGCAAAAAAAAAATTAAAAAAAAATAATATATATATATATGGGGAAAGTTACAAATAAAAAATAATAAGAAAACTTTTAATAGTAACTGAAAATAGTAAGAAATAAATCCAACAAGTGCTTGAAAAAGACATGATGAAGTTAGAAGTCAGTTAAGTGCATAAATAAGACATTTCCATTACGAATATCAAGAGCCAGCACTGAATTTATACTTCATTTGCAATAGGAAAAAGAAAAAGACAGCCACAGAAACTGCAGCTCTGCATTTGTCATGCCTCAAAGAGCTGAAAGGGGCACTCCTCCCTTCTCTATGAATTCACAGTCCTGCTGTCCCCCTTCTGCCCATTACATGTGGTTTAGCAGCTGATGTCCCTAAAGCACTTCAACATTGCTACTTCAAAGAGGGAAGAGAAAGAGCCCGGGAGCTGTTTTGAAAGAAAAATGAATGGAATCAGCACCAGTTTGTCCTAAACCGAGTTTACTATATCCCTAATCAGCTACAATAGCTCAAAAACACGCTTTTCCTGGAAATAAGTGACATTTTACATTTGGTTGAAGAAGACACTAATTTGCAGTGATTATTTCTTTTTATAGTTCAGAACAACCTGCTTCTGGTGTGCATGCCTATCTTGGTCTTGAAGAGATGCTATCCAATAAACTACCTGTGTTGAGGTGGTCATTTTTCTGTTTTACTCGTAGAAAGAAGATTACAGAGACCATTATTAGTGTGCATTATATTCCAAGACAATGCAAGCCACAGGGTAGTGCCCAGAAACAAACCAAGAGCAATAAATGAAGTTGGAAGTACAGCAAAACGAAACTCATTACTAAAAGTAGCCATTTGGCCAAGGGCGCTACTGCTAATGCCCATTAATTCTGGCAATGCATCGTTAGACTCTGAGTGGCCCTAAGTGGTCATAGCTCTTATCCAGCCATGCAACACGTCTGCAGAAGTGATGTGAAATTTGGGTTTTATCTGGCTGATTGCACCTCTACGTGTAGAGCACAAACATTTCTGCCCAGTTATCTCCTAGAAGTCATAAGAAGGAACTTGTGAACAGTAACAACTAAGAAAAAAAGAAAGGGAAAAATTATCTTTGAAAGTTCACGTTTGCCATTTAAGCACAAAATCTGCATGTATAAGATCTCTAGTGCTGCCAAAAATACTGAGCTTTTAATATTACTAAATGTACCTTCAGATTTTTATCAAACTGAAAAAAAAACACTGCTTCAGTACACACGACTTTCCCTGGAAGGTTAATTTCAGTGTGAGTACTAAGGAAAAAACCAACAGCAGTAATTCAACTGTTATTCCACATCACTACTATGAACAGTGCGGTCTGTATATGGAAGCTGTTGCAAGGACATGAGATTACACAGACACGTCACTCACCGTCGGTAAAAGATGTCAATCCAATGGAAATTTTCTCTACAATAAGCTTTCCAGAAAGGCCAACAGCATACCCAGGGCTGCTGAGATCTCCCTATACCTTTCACAAGTCCCTTCCATGGCTGTTGAAAAACTGTCTCAAGTGTTACTAGATTGTAAATTGTGTCAAAAATAATAATAAAAATTCCTACAGCCCTCTTCACCAACCAAAAAAAAAATAAAGAAAGAAAATAAATATTTGTGACTCATTCCAACTGCCAAGCAGTCTGTGTTACAGAACAAAGCCAGATCATACCAACAGAGCATTCAGTCTGTATCTTTATCTGAACAGGGATCAACAGCAAAAAAATTTGCAAGATCTCCATATGGAATGGTTAGGTAATGACAAGAATAAGAAAAAGGCTTCAGGGGAACAAAAAAACAGAAAGGGTACATAGGGAAATGAGATTGAGGTAGATAAAGAGAAGGAAACAACAAGATTTTGGAATCAGCAAATCAAGAAAACAAATGAGTCAGATTCTGGGAGGTTGAAGGCAGCAGAAAGTGACTCTTGTAGAAAAAGGACAATTGTGGAGCTCCCATAGCCAAGAGCTCAGTACAGACCTACACATCAGCTTCATTTTCAACAGGATGAAAACATACGTAATGGCACGGAGGGGTTTCCAAAGCCACATTCTTAATTGTCAATCTGGAACTTGGCCTCACACTGCATGACTGCTGCTTGAATGGATGGATTGGTTCTTCAAATTATTTCAGTAGTCCAATGAGACATCAAATACAGCAGTAAAGTTTCTTCTCTTCATGACTTTTTCTGGCTCTACTGTCTTTCTGAAATGCCTTTTCAGCCTCATTTTCACCTACACATTTTCTTCCTCAACCATCATCACCTGAGTTGACTTTTACTCTTCCCTTTTTTGGTCTACTGGGTGGGTTTAATTTTTGTTGTTGCTGTTAACACAACGTGCACCACAAGAATCAAAATCAATTTGTTTCTGCTTCACTTACATTTTGTTCTGAAGAAGCATTCTCTTGGAGGAGTCTTCTACAGCCTGCACTTCATAGGTCAAGCACTCTTAAAGCATGCAGGTCATGAAGCTGTGCTTATTGAATGCTTGGGTGCTCAAGCCTATCAGGATAATTTATTCACACAACTTAGCCCATGATTCTTCTACTTCTCCAAGAGCTGTTGAGATGCAGGTTAAAGCCTGATGAGTTGACTTGTACAATACTTTTCAGCTTCCACCTTTCCAGCAGGGCTTCTGGAGATGAACACGGGGGCCATGAAGCCTTGAAAAGTTAAGTCTTTCTAGATTAGATGACTAGCTCTTAGCAGAAAGGAGATAACAGAAAGGAGATTCGTTTTCCATCTCTAAAAAGCCTCAGGTAGTTTGCCCAACAGACGACTTACCGTAATCAGTCAAACAACAGTAGCAGTCAACAGCAGCTGAAGCTACTAAATTTTTTAAGCAAAATTTTTTTTTAACAATTTGGTCTTGGCATCCAGAAGCCATTCTTCCTTATCTAGAAGCTGGTAATACACTTCCATGATTCAAGGCAAGTCTTTAAGTTTAAGCTTACTGTGTGCACGGTTCCACCCTGTTGTCGTATGTTATTTCCCCACCAGTCTTGTGAACCCATTTCTGTAAACATTCGGGTGCTTATTGCTAAATATTTTCCCAGCAGTAGTTGATCCATGAGAAAAAAGAGCTGCCACTGATGGAAGAGGTGCAATAAATTTGTATCCCTCCTTAGTTAAGCTAAGCTTGCCAGGAAATTGCCTCAACATCGCGAAACGTCACTGCATAATCTAAGCCTAAATTAGCTGACTTCAGCAAAAGCAACGACCGTAGCCACAAAAACAAGATGTATGAATTCTCTGTACTGGGAGAAGCTCTCATCTTAAGAATTAAATGCAAGCCTGAAGAATTTTCATCATTCGGAAGAAAAGACAAACACAGACATAACTAAAGTTTTTTTAATGAAGGTTGTTTCCCTAATTTTGGTAAGTCTTATTTTATTCTTTGAGCTTCCCAGAATATCACGTACAAATCCAGTTACAAGTGCCCTGAAATGTAAATTGCATGGCTCTTTTTTATCTAAAAAGATTAAGGCAATTAGAAAACCTGTTAGAAACTACACATGCTGAGGTAAACATCTTTTTCAGGCCTTCCCATAAAGACCATATCAAGGAAAACAAAATTCACAGACTACCAGAGTACCACTAGAGGAATGATGGACTGTATAGTCTCAAAACACCTCTCCGTAGTATTATGGGTTAGGACAAGAAGCGTGTACTCCGTATCAGATGCACACCTGATGTAAAACCTCTCCAATCTCCTGCCTTTCCAATCTACAACAGGAGGTGGAAGACGTGTTTTGGATCTGTGAAGAGGCGTACAGTATGTCAGAACTACAAAGCAAGGATTGTACAGGGTTCTTTATTGACATGCAATCTTCAAATACTTTGCAAAATATAAGACTAAGTTAAGGAAAGCAATGCTGCGCATCCAGAAGAAACACAGATGTTCAGAAAAAATATTAAAACAAAAAACCACATGTATAAAACTATGAAGTTATTGTTTCACTTGTCTCTTTCCAAGTCACTATTTAAGGAAAAGAAGAAGCATTTGCCTTGGAAACAAATCTGTCTTGACACTTTTGGAGTTTTATGTTCTACTTTTCAGGCAACACTCTACAAATGATAGAAGAGTACACAAACGCAAACCCAAAGTCCTAAGCTACTACAAGTCTGCTGTCAGATCTTACCAAGGTTACTCATCCTGTGTTCCCATCCATAAAACAGAGGTCACTCATATGTATACATACTTGTTAAGTTTCACGACTACAGAATGTCCCAAAGCCGCAGATAAAAATGTCCCACATAAGTACACCATACAGTCATTAACAGATAATTTTAACTCTAGCCTGTCTTACACGTCAGAAATACAGCTCTGTACGTATCTAGCAGCTAAGCGCAGTATCATAAAAAAGACCACAGCATTTAGGACAAAAATCATATAAACACAATGCCATTTTAATGCCTAAGTCATAAAATAAGTATTAGGAAGCTTCAAAGCATGAGAAGTACTCCTCCCCCACCAAAAAAAAATAAAAATAAAAAAAGAGCAAAACACAAGAACAATTTAAGCTTTCTCCAAAGTATCAAGAATACATTTAATCGAAAAAATAATTAACAATAAAACTCAAACAACCGCCAACAATGAATAAGCCAAAAGCTAAACAGAAGAATTGCCTTAGAATAAGTCCTAGATTTGCTACGGAACTTCTAATCTTCGTGACACACATTAATTCGACACTGGGGACTACCAAATGAAGAACAGAAAGGTAATTTTATCTCCACTGAA